CTGCTTGTGTCGCATGATGGTCTCCCTTTAGCCAGGTTCCTCTGAGTTGGGCTCTCCCTTGGTATACGCATAGGCATCGGGACCGTAGCGTTGCCCTTGCTTCCCATCTTATGGATCTAGCTCCGACTTCCCTCACTTTAGGAGTCATTTGCATGATTCCCTTACCCATCATCTTTCTACCCTTCGCCGACCCTCACGCCCTAGTTAGGCAGCCCCGCATGCTTCATCTAGGTGCGCCCAGTATACCAGGCTCCCTTGTTCCCTTGCATGGTCAACCCTCCATAGCAGTCACCCCTTAGTCGAGCATTACCCGCCCTGATGGTCTATCTGTTAGGGTCATTGGTTCTGTTCGCTCCCAGTTCCCTACCCTCATTGAGCCTGATGACATGTGTTTTCCCCTGTCACTATGTGTGGATGCCCTTAGGAGTTTTCGACCCCTAGGCTGCATTCGCATCCCTCAGAGACCATCCCACCCTTTAGTGTGCGACACACTTCTCATGTGACATATGGTTGTCTTGTTGATTGCTTTGTTGCTCTCAGACTGAGGCTACTGCCTCCGACATTTCTAGGATTTAGTTGCTCTGCTTTTGCTGTTCTTAGGACTTATACACTAGTCAGTTGTTACCAGACTGAGGCTAGTGCCTCCAACATTCTAGGATCTAGTTGTCACTACTCTTTGCTTTCCTAGGACATGTATGTTAGTTAGTTGCTCCTACTTTCACTTAGGCTGTTAGCTGTGACATTGCTGTTTTGTTACATTTTATATCCTAGGTTGCATCGCATGGACTCAGCATGGAGCTTGCTCCGCATCCTAGACTACTCAGGTTTTCTTTTCTTTGGTAGAGTTCCGCTTCTTGGCAGAAGCATGTTTGTATCTAGGCGATCCATCACAGGCCGAGGATCGCGTAGCGGACCTCGGGTTGGCCTGTGAGACCAGCCCCTTGGCCTGTTCTCACAGGCCTGTGTTATATTCGGGGTAGGCCAGTCCAGGCCGGTACCTCTGTTGGTACCAGCCAGTCCAGGCTGGTACCTCTGTTGGTACCAGCCAGTCCAGTCCAGTCCCGTCAGTCCGCTGGGGTATACCCCAACCATTGTCTGTTTTCAGTCTCATTCCTCACTCGCACATTTTGGAGTACGTGCGTTGGAGCCTTGCGTGCGGAGCTGCGTTGTGCCATCTTGCTCCCCCTTCTTCCTCCATCTCCATCTCTGTCACTAGCGGAGCACCACACCTGGTGGGTCCGCTACAGACCTGTAGAAGCTGACCCGCTTTTGAAATTGGAAAAAGGGAAGGGGGATCTCGGGGCCTGGACCTTAGACGACCACACCCGTGCTTTTTGAGGAGGCACGTGACACAAGTGGCGTGGGTTTAGACGTCCGTCTATATGGCAGTAAAAAGGATCAGAACCCTCAACCCTGAAACATCCTACAGCCTCCGCTTATGCGAGCTGCTGCTGTCCAAGACGACCTTCCGCTGACTCACGTTGGCCATGAGTACCTTCAAGTTGGAGATGCGGACAGTTTTGAAACGGCAAGCCATTATAGCGTACTCGCAAGGGTGAGAGACACTCAGAGGGGGAGAGAGAGAGAGCGT